TGGATGAAAGAAAAATTCTCTTCATCATGCCCTTTATACCAGTGTTCCTCACCCGTGACACCTAGAAGTGGTGGGGACTTCACCCCACAGACTTCCCCAGCCAGCATGGCTGGCTAGGGAATTCTGGGAGTTGAAGTCCACACATCTTCAAGTAGATAAAGTTGAGGAGCACTGCTATAGAGGAAATGACCATTTCAAAGACATTCTTATGGGCAGCCATGGTGACCTCCCACTTCTTAAGAAACATAGTGGCCACAGGGACAAAGTCAGATCTGGACAGTTTGGGGCAACCTTTTCAGAAATGGCTTGCTACTACTTTCTTCCTAGGGCTGAGAGGCCCAAAGTCATCCAACTGGCTTGGTGCCTAAGGGAGATCTAGAACTCAGATCTTCCCACTCCTACTCCCGCGTCTTTAACTGCAACACCAAACTGTGTGTCCACTTATGAGCAGATTACCTATAGACGTAGACTTTGTATGGACAATGAAATAGGGGACTTATTTATACAAAATACAGTAGCTTAAAAAATGATAGTCACATAAATGTACTGGAAATATATATGCATCGGAATAATATTTGCATTAGAGAAATATATATAGATTTGTAACTATTTACAGTTATAATGATACACTATGCCAAGATGTTATTTCCTTTGTTGTATTTTTGTTACTGTTTTGTTAATGTTTCTTCTTGATAGTGTATCATTATTTTATTATTTTTTATTATTATTTTTATTTTTTTATTATTGTTTCTTTTTCTTTTGGTTATGAATTAAAAAGCGATAAACAATTATTTTTAAAAAACTGCCCCTCCTTAGATCTCCTTAAATCTGAACTAGGCTGAGCAGCTCCCTGATCAGCAGGTAGAAAAGTAATTCACAGACCTCTGAAATGAAACAGGGTATTTTGGCAGGTCAACAGAGGGTGTTCTGACCCCAAACCTTGCATGCTTCATCAAGAGACCATCTCTTATTTACCCAGCATCTTCCCCTGTACTGGGCAGAGGAAAAAGACGGAACCAGCCTTTGAGAATGGTCTTCTGCACGGTGCCCAGAGAGAACTTGACCTGCAAGAAAAATGCAGATAAACACAGAGATCAGTGTTAAATGGCAGCTACAAAATACTGACTTCTTTTATTGACTTATCTGCAGTCACAGACCAAGATCAAAGATGTTTCTGCTGCTTGAGGGAAAAAAAACAGCACATACCGAAACGCAAATATTGAAAACTAGAATATGTGCCCGATTGCCATATAAGGTGGAAAATAATCTATCAAATCTTATGTATGGTATTTCCTTATAGCCATCACGACTGAACAATTTATTTTTTTTGAGATGTTGGCGTATTTATTGGCTAAGAAGAATGCACTCTCTCCCATAGAATAGCCAGAATGATTAACTAAGAGAAGTGATGTGAATTCCAGATATGGTGCGGCGGACAACTCAACAGAACATGCGATGTTGATTCAATTGCATCTTCCATGCTGGAGCAGATTCAACCTTAGATGAGTCACAAAGGCAAGAAAGTGGTGGAAATGTTCACCTAGAAGTAGGGAGACCTGAGTTCTAGTGCTTCCTCAACCATGGAATCTCCCTGGAGGACTCTGGCCAGTCCCTCACTCTCAGCCCATTAGCCACTGTGGTGAAGTGGTGAAGGTGCTGGATTAGGAACAGGGAGACCCAGCTTCTAGGTCTCTCCTCAGCCATGAAAGTTCACTGAATGATGTTGGGCCAGGATCTCTCTCTCTGTCAGCCTAAGGCACCCAACAGGATTGTTCTTGTGGGAAAAATAGCAGGAGGGAGAACTATAAATGCCACCTTGAAGTTCTGAAGAAAAAGACAAGAGAACAATCTAACAAATAATTAAAAAGTGGGTGGAGCTAGGACAAAAGCTTGTCTGATTGAAGCTTCAAAATGTTGTGAAACAATTGCTATACAAACTTTCAGTGTATTTCCCAAATTCCCAATAAAAGTGACAATCTGGCACTATCATTGGAAATGTTTGGGTCTGGGGGCCTCGCCCAAGATTTGGGAAGTCTGTATATGCAACACTATTGAGGATTATGGTTATGGATTCCTCCTATAAAGAAAACAAGATGGGCAAGAAATCTGAATACATCATGTGTCCCAGAAGAGTACCCAAAGCAAATGCTCCTTTCCAGACTTTAATTCCCATAATCCCCCAACCAGTGGGTCAACGGCCTTCCTGTTGGGTTCTTATGGGAGCTGATATCATATTTGGGAAAACTGGTTTACAGATATGGCATCTGAGGATCTGCCTTACAGATTTTGGCAACTCTGCTGGTCCATTTTAAAGAGACCATTGTAAAAGACAGCTTGATGATGCTCAGTTCCACCATTCAGCTTAGAGATTCAGGACAGCCAGCATTCATATGGCACACTGACTCAAGTCAGGAACTGGCACAGCAGCTGCATTTACCCAACATGCTAAAATGGATTAGTTTTAATCTCTGTTCGATTTTTCAGGGAGGTGGTGGCTTAGTGTGTGGCATGCCCCTATCCAACTGGGTGAGTTGATGGTTCAAAGAATTGTGCAACCCCCAAAACCACATAATTCAGAAACCAGTTGACTGATTTTCAGCAGTTATGATTGGAAGAAATATGGGGTGCTGCAAAAAATGGGGCTTGTGGGTGGCATGCCAACCTGTAAGCTAAAGAGTTGTGTGGGCTGGACATTCTTACAGGTCTCCTTCTCCCAGGTCTCCCAGGTTGGACATTCTCCCAGGTTGGTTGGGTGCTTGGTTAAGTTCAACCCAAGGGTCAGCCTCCTTCATCCTTTGGTGGGCCCTCCTTTTTCCTTACCTGCCCCAGGAAGTCATTCTTGCCCACCATATCCCAGTCCCAGACTTCTACAACAAGGGGAGTCTCGGAGTCAGCTCCCTCTTCCAGGACGAACTCCAACATTTCTTCCCAACGTGGGAAACGGGTCTTCTTGATAATCTGAAGAGTCACAAGACAGAGTAAGGTGAGCTTTCTACTTAAAGCCGTCCTCTGTGTCTACCTGCTTTTCCAAATGAAGCCTTGGACTCCAGGGTTTCACCAGCTACATTTTCTAAGAATGTGACTGCTCTCTGTGTAGAGTCAACAACCATTCCTGGAAAGTTTTAGTCTTTTAATCTGATAGGTCCCTATAGCTAAGCACCATGCAAGCAAAGCAGAACAATACAACACAGTGTAGAGTGGAATCAACAATATAACAATACATTCGACTGAAACATTTTCGAATCCCAGATCATGTGGGGGGCTCGCCCTTCAATTTGCAGGAGGCCAGCTTCTCTGCATTCTGTGGAGACCACTCTTGAGATTGTCTTGCAAGTCACCGTTGCCAAAAAGGGTAGCCGATTGCAAAAGTAATACACAAGCTGTCACATTGCTACCAAGCTGAATTGAATATTTGCTATGACATATGAAGCCTTATATGACTTAGGAGATCTAAAAGATTGCCTGTTGTCTTGTTATCAGACTCTGGCAGCTGCCTAAAACCCAAAGTCATTCTTACAGAGTTTTCTTTAGCAAGATTTATTGAGATGAATGGAATGGGAGATTGAACATTCCAGCAATGGAATTATTTTCCATTTAGAACCAGTGTACCCTTGCATCCATCAAAGCTGAGACTTTCTGATTCTTGTTTTAACAGGGTTCTTGTGATCCAGAAAACAGGTAGGTCTTTTTGTTGATAACAGGTAAGCTTTCAGTTGGCTATTTATATATGAAAGTATTATCAGTTGAGGAATACTTATGTACCAGCCTACTAAGGGGATCTCCTCTCAAGGCCATTGCATTTTCCAGCGCTTTGCTAACCGCCCAGAGTCACTCTGCAGTGGGATGGGTGGTGACAAATTTGAAATATAAATAAATAAATAAACCTAACACAGAGCAATTTTGCTACAAGTACCCAGTTGTGCGGCAGTTACCAAGCTTTTTAAGTATTTGGCACCAGCTTAAGACAAATCAGTTCACCCCAATATTTGTTTAGCTAGGGCTTTTGTGACTTCTGATCTAGTTCCGTATGCTTCTCAGTCTTCGCTTTTTGATGATTTTAAACATATCGAGGGGTATCGATGTAATGGTATGAGAGAATGACCTTGGGAGACAGGAGGAAGAGCCGCAGACTAGGCAACAGTCAGATAAGCAGCAGCTGAGCCCGCAGAAGGAATAGGGACATGGCAAAGGTCTCAGAAGGGACCCTCCCTAGTTCATTGGACTGTAAAGGTGAGCGGGGAGAGATGTACTTTCAGACTTGCAAGATTCCATTACTGTAATCTTCCAATAAAGATAGAGCTAGCACTTCTGGATGTGATTCTTGTCTAGTCTACCTTGCAAGGGTGACCTCAATGGTTTTAAGCAGTGGTTCTCAAAGTGTGGTCTGGGAATCCCTGGGGGCCCCTGAGACCCTTTCAGGGAGTCCACAAAGTCAAATAAATAAATATTTTAAAATGTCTCAATTTTAATTTCTAATATAGTAAATATCGCTAGATATAACCCACATAAACAAAAGCTCTTTGGGGTCGTCAATCATTTTTAAGAATGTAAAGGGGTCCTGAGACCAACATGCTTGAGAATCACTGGTTTAGAGGATTTTAATGGAATTGCTTATGCTTCAATTGCTTTTCCCTGAAGGGCCAGTCGTTTTTCATTGTTCCCTGCTTTGTTTATTTTTTTAATTGAAGTAGTAAAACGTGGTCAACAAAATAATTAATACATAATTATGAATGTTCCTTAAAGAATCTACTTCCATCTCTGTCAACCTGGGTGCCAGGCAGATGTGTGGATTTCAGCAGGGCCATTGCTAAGAGTTCTGGGAGTTGAAAACTACTCATCTGGAAGATGTCTAGGTTGGAGAAAACATGTCAGCAGAACCTTGGAGGACTTGTTCTATAATATTTTTACTGGGAAATATACTGGGCATCTTGGCCTATAACTCCTTCTTAAAGCTGTGGCTTTGCCTGGTCAGCAGATCTCTTCCCTGGCTTTAATCATTGTGATCAATTTTACATTTCTCTCCCATTAAAAGCTACCTAACATCTCTGCCCTAACATGCAAAGTTTATCCAAAGATACTCACAGCTGTTTCCAGGATCTGCCCATTAAACAGTACGCGGGCAAAGGGATCTGAAGTGCCCGAGAGATCACGTGGTGCTAGATCTCTAAGGGGAAGAAGGAAAGAGCAGATCAAAACCAGGAAGTATTTCAGGGTGGGGTGGGGTGGGAATTGAGCTGACTTATGGGAACTTTGCAAAAGTGATTTCTTAAATCCAGTGTTTAGAAGATCTCAAACTCTCCATGGACTACCAACATCTCTCAACTGTTCAATAAAAACACAAGCCCACATTCAAATCTTAATTAATTCAATCTTAATTGACATTAATACCAAAACTGAAAGAGCCAACAATGAAAAGCCTGTTTTAATGGAGTTTGCAGAGCTGCCAAAGATGTTGATTCCCTCAACCCACCAACGATGGCATTCCAGAAGTCCAGGGCAGCTACCGAGAAGACCCAACTCTGAGTCAACACCTGATGGGCCTATGCCCACCATGGGGAGACCTTCTTTTAAGAGCAGACTCGGGTACTGAATTAAAACCAATATATATCCAACATTGGGTTGTTGTTGAGATATATGACAGAACATTCCATAGCTTTGTAAAAATAGGGGGGGAAAATCTTGGGTGTGTTTGTATGGAATCCCTAAGGGAGATTTAAAAAAAAAAAGGCCAGTGAGATCAGCATACACTTGGAATTGAAAGTGTTTCCCACTTCCCCAAGACAGAGGACAGATCTATAGAGTTCAGTCATCTTTATTGGAACATGACACATTTCCTTCGGAACCTTTGGAGAATGCAGCCCACAGTAAAAACAAGGTGACACGAGGAACCGAGGTGGATTTTTGACCCTTACAATCCTAACCCTGATAAATATGGGAGAGATGGGTGGCATATACATTTAATAATAAATAAAAAATAAAATAAATAAAACAAATATTATGCCCTAACATCCATCCTTGACTGCACTCATCTTCTTTCTGCCAAGCATCACAGTCAGTTCCCCACTCTTTGGCTAGTCAATTGCCTAGGTGCCCACTGGTTTCCACCTTGGTTCTGAGGAGGAGTGATCCAAAAGGACCTCAATCAGAGGCCGCTTAGAGCATCACAGTTTTCTTCCTAATCTAGAAGCTCATGGCTTAGTCCTCACGAGGTGGCACTTCCAAAGCACCCATCTGCAACTTACATAAAGAGACATTGGTCTTGCCGCAGTGATTCTTCGCAACCAAAAAACGCAGGAAATTGTATTTAGGGTGTATTGGTCTCCCCAAAGAATGTATTGGAAAGGATGGACACTGATTTTTTATGCTGGAGGTGTAAGAAATTTGAGGGCTCCCTGACCCCCTAGATACAGTCATGAGATCATTTAGTATCTTTCGGGGACTGTGTGTTAATGTATATTTGTAGATTTATGGGGAAATCTTTAAATGTTCACAATGTTAATATAATGTTGAATGATATGCTAAAGCTTTGGAATTGGACTGTTCTTCAGGAATTGTGGATGTCTCAAGCATGGGGGGTGGTAAAAAGAATTATATTAAGAAATAGGAAAAATGAAATTATTTCAGATGTCAAGGAATGGTTGTTGGAAATGTGTGATCTCTCTATTTCGGAAAAGGCAATATTTTCCACCAATCAAAGGATGCAGTAATATATGTTATTATGGCAGAGATTCTGTGATATTTTACAATAATATATTGTTTATATTATAGCAATGAATTCATTGGTAAACCACCGACTATTGATAAGTATGAAATATAAGATAGATTTTCTTTTCTTTTCCTTCTTAGTTTGTATTTTTAGTTTGTATTTTTTAAAGTTTCTCTTTTTTAAAGATTAAAGATTAGTTTGTTAAGATGTGAAATAAATAAATCAGAATTAATGCTTAAAAATGCAGGAAATCTCCAAAATCTATGTCAAGGGTACTTGATTTTCTAAGCTGCGTGGTGGTGGGAATCCTAACTACCATAGACTTGATGGTTCATACATCATTCTGGAAAACTTCAGTCTGGCAAGCTGAGTTCAAAGAAATCAAAGTAGGAAAGAGAAAGAAACGAATATTTTTCTGCATCTCAGTTCCTGGGGAACCAAAGTTCAGCAGCTCTAGTTTCGGGTCCTATCATCATCTTGGGTCTTGGTGGGTTCCTTAGTCAACTTCTCAAGCAACAGAAAAATCGTTGGCCTGATTTTTGACTGGCTTTGATTTTTGAGATTAATTTTCCTTGTGGATTTAAATAGCAGACACCTTTCCTTAGCAGCCACCCCCTATAAAACAGATAACTCTACAGTTTTGAAATGCAGTGCGTTTCATGGGCTATGAAAGCTGGGATCTATGGAACATTTAACATCAAGTAGGTGGGAAAAAAAGAGAAAAATAACATCAGGATAGGCATCATTTATTTTCCATAAATAAGGCAATCATCAATGGATATGCCACTGAAGATTCATTCCAGTGACAACCTGGTGAACCATAATTTTCTGTTGCATTACAAACCAAGAATTATCAGTTATTCACAAACAGGATATGGATCCTAGTTTGTTTGGAAGCTGTTAACCACCGTTTTCCAGTTTGAATATAACAGAAATTACATAACTTCCAAAGGACAGGAAGAAGCAAAATAGCAGCGAAGAGGGATAAGTTTTGATGTAAGAATGTTATGTATATTTTAGCTTACTGAACTAGAATGATGGAGAATCCTGGGGTCATTTCCATTAGCGTCATCAGTTGCAAGCTACTGGTGGAAAGTGAAGTTTTATCTACATCAGAAGTTCAGTCAAACCAAAGACATTTACAATTAACTTTCAGTTCTTTCTCCCACCTCTTGCACTGCCAAAAATGTTCACAGCTTTTTTTTTAATCATAAACTGTTAATTATCTCACTTTCTAAGGGAGACTGCAAAGAAAAAGAAAAATCACACTCCATTTCAGCAGCCACAACACCTTTCTATTACAGCACCTTCTGTATTTTCACTGGTGGGGGTGGCACAAGAAGGCCTCACACCTCCCAGATCGCTTCTCTCAATTTGAAAAGAAGAGCTGGCAGATTGTCCCACTCAAGTTGATTCTCAAAAGGGCCCCAGTTAATTTCAAAACTTTCCTGCAAGAGATCAGTTAAGACCTCTGGAAGGAGAATCTGGCCGGTCATTAAGGAAGGAGGGAAGGGGAGGAGATGGAAGGAACAGAAAGGGGGGATCACGGAGAGAGAGAAGTTGAACAAGAGCTCATCCAATGAGAATAGTGTAAGGAGATTTGTGGCTTACAGAAAGGGAGACTTTTCCCCAGAGTCCATGGGTCAAAACTACAGAAGTGGCTACCAGGAAATAGGAGGAAGCAAGCCAATTCAGATGCTTTGAAAAGGGGGGCTGGATCTGTCCATGGAGAATCTGGGTCTCAGTGGCTACAAATATCGATGGTTCTTTCCTTCCTCCTGAATCACAGGCCTTCTGTCTTGGTTCCTGAGAAGCAGCAGGAAAAGATAGCCTTTGTCTTCTAGTCTAGGTTGGTGAGCTTCCAAATGCATCTCGTGGGGTACTCTACCACATAGAAGGCTGGTTGAGATCCAGCAAAGATTTTCTTAGGAGAAGCACAAGGGTTATTGGAGAAAGAGAGAGGGGTGGGTGACCATAAATGAAAAAGAGACCAAGGGGAGTCAAAAAGAGAGAAGGACAGCCTACTGCCAGCATGACCTCCCCACCAACCGGATTATTCCCAAGGAAAGCAGCCAGTTTCTCACTCCATCTGCAGATCAACCTTCCTCCTCCTGCTTTACCTGGCTTCGAGGACATGGCAGCAGAGTAGCCTCTGGTGAGCTTCCTCCACCACCTGCAACTCCAGTGAGATTTCTCCCTGCACCTCCTCGTTGGGGTCCACAGGGCTCAGGTTGATCCAGCGATCGATTCCTGCCACAAAGTGGAATTAGGACACGCCTGGCTTCTCTTTCAGCTCACCCTTGGCGAGTTCCCCCTTCCCACAGTTGCAGAGAATCTGCCCAACACATCCTTCCCGTTCCTTTTGACTCCAAGGTCAGCACCCTGGTGCATGAATTGCTTCGTTTGCAATGATGCAACTTAATTTCAGGGAGCTGTCCAAGAAAAGCAAACACCAACAAGAAGGATCCTTTCCAGAAGGGACACCCAACAGGGGAAGGAAATCAGATTGTGGCTGTTAGAAAAGATGTGTAACAAGATGGAAGAAAGGTTGGATGGGGAGAAGAAATGAAGAACTTGTTTTAAAAATGGGACATGTTTTACAGAGGGGCTTGCTGGATGCTGTCCAGCAGTAGTCTAACGTTAGGGGTCACTAGCTTCTAGCAGAAAGTGGATCCTAGAAAGGTGGTTTAATTTCACCAAAACCAACAGTAGAAACCATCCGGAAAAAAATCTAAGATCAATGGATCTATTTTGACCAGCCAAGATCCCACAAAGAGGAGACAACCCAGATGCATTGGGTTCATCATCTACATAACAGAGGGGCACCAGGATGGGGAAAAAATCTGCCCATATATGATTGTAATGTCAACTTATTATTTTTACAGCATCGTTTTCTTTGCCACAGCACAGAAATGGTTTCCCATCATCTTCAATTTTCTACTTTGGCCTCCAGCCTTGGATTGCGTGGTCTTCCATCCAAATGCTCACCAGAGCAAACTCTGCTCCGCATTGCAAGTTCAACCAAGGACCACTAGATGCTGTCATCAAGTGCAGCTACCTTTAGGGGTGTCCCAAAACACTTACCTCTTGCCTGAGATGAAATCTCCTCTTTGCTCAGGGCGATTTTGCCAATGACATCATCATGTCTGCAGAGAAGGAAGCCAAAAGAGATACCTGAGACCACAACATTTTGCCCAAGAAGGAAAATGAAAAGGTATTCATTTCTTCCTTCTTCCATTCTAAAGCTAACTGGACTGACTGATGCCTCTTACCTGAACTTCTTTTCCCTTCCCTTAGGTTGCTCAGGACCAGATGTACAGATTTCACTTTGCAAATATCAGTGGCAATTCAGCCTCCCTCCTCCCTCTCCCCCTCTCTCCTCCCTTCACTAGCAACTGCTTATATCACCTTCCTTTTCCCACTGGGGAGAAGAATTGGGTGGTTGGAGGAGGTTCTGCAACAAAACAGAACAGCTAATGATGTCACTGTGCAAGTCTGTCCTTTGCATGTTTGCATCGTGAGGCTGCTATGGGGATTTGTGTAGAGATTCCATTGCACATGTTCAGATACTGTGAACCCCCCCTCTTATTTCTTGCTTGCCAACAAAAAACAGGCTAACCAGCCCAGCTGGCTTGTTTTTTGCTGGTAATTACCAATTATTATCCAAGAGCAGACTGGCTGAAGCCTGTTGCTATTGCCCTGTTCTTTGCTAGCCAAGGATTTTTTTTTTTTTTAAATTCTGGGAATCAATAACCTTTGGTAGGGACACCAGGGAACTGCTGCCATGTCTCCCTGGGGAGATGTAATGGTATGTGAGAATGACCTTGCGAGACAGGAGGAAGAGCCGCAGACTAGGCAACGGTCAGATAAGTGGCAGCTGAGCCTGCAGAAGGAATGGGGGAGTGGCAAAAGTCTCAGAAGGGACCCTCCCTAGTTTCTTGGACTATAAAGATGAGGGGGGAGAGATGTACTTTCAGACTTGCAAGATTCTGTTAATGTAACTTTACAATAAAATTAGAACTAGTACTTCTGGGTGTGCTTCTTGTCTGCACTACCTTGCAAGGCTGACAGGAGGGCACTGTATAATTGCAACTGTGTCAATCTCGCTATGCTGCTTAGGTGACCACAGTCCTTCATACAGTGCTCAACAGTACAGAGGTCATGACAGATTTCTTCCAACTGTCCAAGTTGTTCTTCACCTGGGCCCAAATGACCTTTGGAAATTCTTCACCAGGTTTGTAGGCAGAGAAATGGGTACGGTGGGGGGCAACATCTCAGATTTCTCCAGGTGGGACTTTTCTTCCATAATGACAACAGGACCACGACTGAAACAGCCTCAAGAGAAGAGTTTCCTCATGTTTCCTTGAGATACCAAGCCAATGTGGAAACAGAATTGCACAGAAAAAGACGGGACACTGATACACAGCCAGCTTGTCACTAAATACATGCTAGAAGATCTAGTGTCCACCCAGGAGAATGTCTCAGAATTTCTCTTCTCCTTAAAAAGATATGCCATACTTTTTCTCTAACTGAAGGAGGATGGAAGAACATTCCTGGAAAATTTCTCAGCCTAACGGAAATAATAGGTAGGCTTGCACTGCGAAAGAAGCAACAGGGTTTCCTGGTTAGACAATCCAGATTATTTCCTCAGCACTCCCACCTGATGACATCAGCCACCTTGGCTTACCCACTGAAGCAATTCAGTGTGCCCAAAAGAAAACAGAAATTTCCACTCAAAGCTTGGCTGTCAAACTTGGATTCTGGAGATTTCCTGAATTATTCTCTGCAGCTTTGAACAGGGAAGCAAGACGCTGACATGAATGGATGGGTCCGTGAAATTAAGGTGGAAGGTGTTGTACACAAGGAACTACCTTCTTTTCCATTCATCTGTTTTCATGACTCTCTACTACCCTACAGGATTTATCTCAGCCTAAAGGTATTCCCTGTATATTCCCTGTACGGTGCTGAGCTGGGCATCGTCTCACACAAGTGTTCTGTTACTGCAACAGGTTGACACCAGTGTCCCTCTGTCTGGTGGCCCCTGACTGCTGCTGCCTTAGAGGCTTATGGGAAATGGAGACAACTTTGGGCATTGTGGGAAATGGAAATTAGAATGATGGCTGTCCAATGATGAGCACCTGAAATCAAAGAGAGATCAGAGTCACCATCAAAGGTGTGACTTGACAGTTGGCCACATGCTCTGTTGGGTCTACTTCCATCCACACCCCTTCTTATCTTGGGATTGTAGGCTTTCTGGGTAAAGATCTACTTTTTTCATCTGCTGGTCCACACCCAACATAGAGTGGTGGCATTGCATATGTTATGCTTACCAGCCACAGTATGTATTATTTGGGGGACCACCTCTCCCTGGTTACATCTACCCATTCCATCAGGACTGGCAGGAGAGGCATGTTACAGGTCCCATCTATGAAAGAGTGTCATCTGGTGGGACCATGAAGAGAGCCTTTTCGGCCATGGTGCTCATCCTGTGGAACATCATCTCCCCGGACCTTAGATGGGCCCCAACCCTCGCAGCCTTTAGGAAGGCCCTGAAGACATGGCTCTGCTGCCATGCCTGGAGGGTGGCAATGGTGGGGAGCTCTTACCACAGTTGTGTTGAGCTGACGTAAGGATGGATTCTGCCACTGATCATGACTACTTTTGTTTTAAAATGATTGTGAATGGCTCTTATAGGTCTGTATATTGGGGGTTTTTTACTTGATTTTATTGGATTGTTGTTTTTACCTATGGTGAGCCACCCAGAGTCACTTGGATGAGATACAAATCATCATCACCACCATCACCATTACCATCGCCATCATCGCCATCATCATCATCATCATCACTGTATCTCTCTTGTTCTGCTTCTTGTGTTCTACTCACCCAATGGTGTCTTCATCCAAGACATAGAAAGAGAGGTTGTGGAACCCCATTGGAAGATGCAGGGTATATTCTTCCCCCCAAAAGGGGTTGAGATTCTTCCAAACCGTCGCAGTCCTGAAGCACAGAAGAAAGGGAGGGAGGTCTCTGTGCCTTGCCTCAAGGCAGGTTGAACAATCTCAGGTAGAAATGTCTAAAAGTCACAGGCAGCTTTCAGATGTCCCTAGCTTTGGGCAGGGGGGGTATCCTCCCAAATCCCAAAGATCAAGCTATTGAAATATGGAAGCAGGAGTAGCTGAAGATTATAAATCAAAAGGAAAAGTGGTATGTATAGATTATAAATCAAAAGGAAAAGTGGTATGTATGTTTTTGGACAGGCTTAAGGTACTAGCAAATAATCCAGTTCCTCAAAGCATGGGAAAGTTGCAAACATTCTTCTTCTGACCAGCTTCATTGTGGGCCTCACTACATCCCTCAGCCTACAGCAAAACATCTTAACATGTGCAGCCCTTATATTAGTGTTTCTCAACCTCAGCAACTTTAAGATGTGTGGACTTCAACTCCCAGAATT